CGGGTTCTCCTGTGTGGTGTATTTTACAATTAAAGGTTTTAACGGGTTCTCCAGTGTGGTGTATTTTACAATTAAAGGTTTTAACGGGTTCTCCTGTGTGGTGTATTTTACAATTAAAGGTTTTAACGGGTTCTCCAGTGTGGTGTATTTTACAATAATATAAAATGTTGATTATTTGTGTGAAGTTGAGTAACACTAACACTAATATGAATGGTAAAATGTTGTCGTCAATAACTCGTTTAATTAGGAAGACTTTGACTTTGGGGCTCGACAGAAACTTTTACTTGTAACAATTCTACGACGCCTCCTTTTATATATCTAACCAGGTTTGTTTGTTGAATTTCGAGCTACATGAGAGCTATCTGCGCTAACCAAATTTTGAAATGATAGCATAGAGAGAGCTAGCCAACTTCACCCACTTCTAAATCTTAGGCTACTCTTTATAAACGAATAGCGGGATTAACCCTCACAATATAACGTCCCACGGCTGAAAGGACGAGCACGGTCGGTGGCAGGATTCGAACCCATGATCCTCATTAAACACTTGTAACGTAAAAATGAAAACCTACTTTTAGTAGCAGATGCTTAAAAAATGCCTAGTTTTCGTTTCTATTATGTTATTGTACTAGACATCTATGTATATCTATGTGTGTACAATCACTGAAACTCAATTACAATATTATAGTACTTAATGAAGTAACGTTAAATATTTTAAAACATCGATTCGGTTGCACTTCCTGTTTCAAACCGCTAGGGTACATGGGTTAGGGTACCCAGCACGCAATCTGCAAGTCGCAGGTTTGAAACCCATCATCGAAAATATTCCCCTTTCAGCCGTGGAGGCATCATAAAGTGAGTGTCTACCCTACTACACGATTAGAGTAGCTCAAGTAGGTTGTATTAACTAGCTGTCTTCCCTACAACACGATTAGAGTAGCTCAAGTAGGTTGTATTAACTAGCTGTCTTCCCTACTACACGATTAGAGTAGCGACAGCTAGTTAATACAACCTACTTGATTCCCTACTACACGATTAGAGTAGCTCAAGTAGGTTGTATTAACTAGCTGTCTTCCCCACAACACGATTAGAGTAGCTCAAGCAGGTTGTATTAACTAGCTGTCTTCCACACAACACGATTAGAGTAGCTCAAGTAGGTTGCATTAACTAGCTGTCTTCCCTACAACACGATTAGAGTATCTCAAGTAGGTTGTATTAACTAGCTGTCTTCCCTACAACACGATTAGAGTAGCTCAAGTAGGTTGTATTAACTAGCTGTCTTCCCTACAACACTATTAGAGTAGCTCAAGTAGGTTGTATTAACTAGCTGTCTTCCCTCTAGTCTGTGATTTATAAATTAGGGGTAGCTAGCACAGATAACCCTCGAGTAGCTTCGCGCGAAATTCAACAAACAAAAGCTAGAATTTTGGGTTCAATCCTCTCGACTGATAAAGCTCAAATAATCCATTGTGTAGCTTTGCGCTAAAACAACAACCACGATTTAAAAAATTCAACCGATCAACATTTTTAACTTGCACGATTAAAATCTTTATTCTCAGACTGTTTAATGGTTTCAAATCAACCACTCTACATGTTTCAACGTGTATCACGTCATCCTCTCGGAGTGCTAAGTCTAAAAAACTACTTATACCAAGGTTGTTAATAATGTGACTCATGATCCATTAACAACTACAATGCTTTAACCTATAAAATACGATGTATATAGATACACATGGTTTCTACGCAAAATAACCACACAAGAAACTACGTCAAGAATGACCATTCTATAATTTACAAAGTTTTAACAACTTATAATTTAACAAAATGTGTCACACCATTTTTGGGATAAAATACCACTTGGATACACTGTGACACAAAATGTCTGTTTACAATCATGTAAATAAATTCCACTTGGATACACTGTGACACAAAATGTCTGTTTACAATCATGTAAAGAAATTCCACTTGGATACACTGTGACACAAAATGTCTGTTTACAATCATGTAAAGAAATTCCACTTGCATACACTGTGACACAAAATGTCTGTTTACAATCATGTAAAGAAATTCCACTTGCATACACTGTGACACAAAATGTCTGTTTAAAATCATGTAAAGAAATTGTAAAACGGTACAGAAGTTAATATTTCATTTTAAATAATCTGTTATTAAACAAACGGATTGTTAAACATTTTGACATTTCTCATTCTTTTGTTCACGTTAGGCCTAGCTAGTTAGGCCACTCGACACGTAATCTGAGGATTACGAGTTCGAATCCTGTCACCGAACATGCTCACTCTTATATCCGTGGGGGGGCCTTATAATGTAAAGGTCAGTTCCATGTTTTGTGACCCAGTTCTAAAAGGAGAAGAAGTAGAAAGTTCCTGTCTAACAAAGGTAGATACTTTATATTCATCTGTATAATAGTCACGTTACAGTAAGATTATAAATATGTAACTATATTGAACATATATATATATATATATAAGTACTGGTTAAGTAGTTAGCACGCAGAATCACCTTCAAAAGTCGTAATATTTTCAAAACTAGAACCAAGACTCGAGCACTTTGAACAGTTGACTATTCTTCTTCCGGAGAATAAAGGGTTATGTTTAATGGGTGTGATGAAATATATAGGCTCGGATGTCTAT